AAATATGGGAGCAGATCATCAGGACCTCTCTTCTGTGGAAGTGAGTTCAAACTGATAACGTTCAAACCAATATCCAAGTGTTTACTCACTGCACTACCAGGGCTCTTTTGTTTTTAATTTATAGTAACATTTTATTTAAAGTGCAAGACTTGAGGGGAATTACAGACTAATGTAAACTCAAACATGTTGGTGTTGTTAAGTGCCATTAACTCAGTTCTGCTCATAGCGACCCTGAGTATGGATTCTGAGGTGCAGCTGGTGAGTGTGACTTGCTGACCTTTTTATTCAAACTAACCTTGTAGTCCAATATTGATCTTACAGTGCCATACTACTACTCTGAAATATAGAAGTAATGCTAGATGAAAATACTTTAGAATTAAATTTATAGACACACAGCTGGATTAAAAAGAAATAGAACTATCGTTAAGTTGGCTATGAAAATAACTAAAATTTTAAACACATTTAGTAAACTTCACTGGGATCTATAGTAATTTGCTGATAAATAAGCTGAACATTATCTGTTTATTTTTGTAAAGAACACAAGTTGGCCAAATCTAATCTAACACCAGGGTTTTTGTTTGTTCTCCTTTAGCCTTCCTAAACATTAGTAAAAGTCTGCTATACCTAAATGTCTGATTCTTTATGGACATCAAGAAAAACAGTGTGTATTTAGTATCTGGATAGTCATATCAGAACAACAACAACCACATACCCTGAGACACAGTGAGAATGGCAGAAAATTAAAGCAAGGGATGCCCAGGAAACATGTAAGTCCTTTGCAAACTCTCAGGGATGCTGGAGTTACTACTTATATTGCAGGTAAGGTAGCATCTCACTTGCAACTGAATACTGAGGGATGGCCAATCCCGTAGGGAGACAGATACTTGGAATACACAGGAAGTCTCATTAGCGTCAGCACACAGGTTCTCCTTGGTTAAACCCAACTGGGTCCAGTTGGGCCATTACACCCACAGCCTTACTCACTGCAGTTTTTACCTTATTGCAAATAAGAAACACACCTTCAGGAAGTAATTTTTCTTTGCTGGTGCTTTCTGGGATCTACCATATTAGAAAGAAGAGTTTTTGTTGTTGTTTAGTGGAGTCTATTCCAACTCATAGCAACTCTATATAGGGTTTCCAAGGAGCAGCTGGTGGGTTTGAACTGCTGACCTCTCAGTTAGAAGTCCAGTGCTTATCCTACAGGGCCAAATCAGGGATCCTAAAAAGGATTAAGAGAAGAAATCAAAAGAGATCGAAACAGGCAAATGAGAGCCAACTGATAATAATTGGAATCCCTGAAGGAAACAAAGCAATGAACTATAATAGCTTTTTAAAGAAAGGAGGCATGAGTTTATCTTAGTGGTGGTAGAATAATTTGGAATAGGATAGCAAGAATGGTTACACACACACACACACACACACACAGAATGGTTACACAACTTTAAATGTTTCTGACATAAAAAGGGACTCAAATCTACATTTGGAAAACACACCATGTATGCTTTCCCAGCTGGCTGTTGAAGATGGATGAGTGCCAGGTCCAGGTGCTTGATGGTCAAGGCCATTTCCTGGGCCACCTGGCAGCCATTGTAGCCAAGCAGGTGCTGTTGGGTCAGAAGGAGATGGAGGTTGTGTGTTGTGAGGGCATCAGCATTTCTGACAACTTCTACAGGAACAAGTTCAAGTACCTCTGCAAGCACATAAACACCCACCCATTCCATGGGCCGAGCCATTCCCGGCCCTCAACTGCATCTTTTGGTGATTGTGAAAGCCATGCTGCCTGCCCTACAAGTACAAGTGTGGCCAGTCCTTCCTGGACCATCTCAAGGTGTTCGATGGGATGCCTCTGTCCAAGACAAGAAAAGCCGATAGTGGTTCCTGCTACTCTCAGGCTGTGCACCTCAAGCCCACACAGAAGTTTGCCTACTTGGGCTGCCTAGCACATGAACTGGCTGGAAGTATGAGGCAGTTATAGTCACCCTGGAGGAGAGGAAAGAGAAGGCCAAGATCCACTGCTAGAAGCAGCAGCAGTTTATGAGGCTGCAGTAATAGGCTGAGAAGAAGTTGGAGAAGATTAGCAAAATAATAGAGGTTCTCAAGACCCACAGACTCCTCGCCCCAGCCCAGTAAAGACTTAGTTCTTCACTGACTTGACCTGGTCCTTCCTTTGTTGCCACCATGGGGTCTGGGGACCGCTCAGCCACATGCTTAGGGTTGTACAGAAAGGATCTGAGTCAAGCTCATGGTCAATGCTCCCATTTCAGAAAGGTCAGACTCTAAAGAGTTGTTAAGTGCTGTCCAGTCAGTTCCAACTCATAGGGACCCTGTAAATCTTTCTAGGAGCAGAAAGTCTTATCTTGCTCCCAGAGTAACTGGTGAGCTTGAACTGTGGATGAATAACAGGAACAACCAATCACTTCCATTACAAAAATTTTTTGCAAAAATGAGTTGGAAATCTAATTGCAAGGAATCCTAAATTGTTATGAAGCATCTGATTAAAAGATTTCACAAGTTTTTACATTATACTCTGCAACTGTTGGAATGTTCAAAGAGCTTGTGTTATTATTGGATGCTCCTGGAGTTGTAAAAAGGGTCTTTACAAATGCAGGCACATTTATAATGGGAGGAGATGCTACCAGGGGGCCACAAGTTCTGGCCTGGTTGCTTTCTCCTCGTTTTGTCCTTGAAAAATCAATATATTGTTGGTAAACTAAAAAAGAAACAAAACTACACCATATTAACATTATGAATTAAATAAATGTGATATTTTTTCTTTTTCAAAAGCCTCTTTACCTTGCTTTTTTTCTTTATTTCTTAAAGTTTCCAATATTTTTCTATGTTCAAACAAATTTGGAGGCTTTCTACTTGATCTTATTTGCCTGAGTGCCCCACATATTCTTTATTTTCACATTTTGACTAAGTAGAAGGTCAGCTACAATGAGCAACAGACACAATAGCTGTAACAGTGGGCTCAGTATACAACAATCGTGAAGATGGCACAGGATGAGGCAATGTTTTGTTCTGTTTGATTTGGAGCTGCATGTTAATGCACTGGACTGCAAGGTCACTTTAAACTGCAAGATCAGTGGTTCAAACTCACCAGCTGCTCCTATACAAGGTCACTATGAGTCAGAACTGACTCGACATCACTTAACAACAACATATAAGGGTGTCACGAGTCATAGCTAACTTAATGACTTAAAGACATACATAACCCAATTGTCCTAAAAATTGGGTTCTAATGCCAGTAAAGATTCTATTTTTAATGGCTTGATATTTTTATGCTTGATATCTGGAGTATAAATCGAAATAGACTAGGCAAAACTTTTATGTTCTTGTTAGTTGCTCATTCATAGCAACTCCATGCACAAAAAAAAAAACCACACCAAAATGTGACTGGATTGGACTGGTCTGTTGCTGTTGAGATAGTTCTCTTCACTTCAGCCTTGGAATGCTTTTATGTCTGAAGACCTTCAGATTAGCTGATCAAAACACCTTTCAGTCTAACTTGGATTTCTTTTTTTTTTTTTTTGAATCCTTCTACTCAACAACATGAATGTGGATCTAGCTTCTCCCCAAAGCCTGCCTGAAGCTTGTGTTTCTAGGGATTCTCCACCAATATCTATGATTTGGGGAACTGAAGAAAATTAGACATATTTGCAAATGTTATTGGCTGAGGCACTCTACTCAGAGACGGATCTGCTTATTCAGGACAGTCCTGATTCTTCCACCACTTCTATAAAGTGTACTGTGAAGAAGGCAGGCAAAGGCCAGGGCAAGAAATAGGTCAGAATTGTGTTCCCTCAGACGCAGCTGTGCATACTCCAAGACCAATTTCAGAAACAGAAATACCTCAGCCTCCAGCAGATGCAAGAACTTGCCATAGTCCTGAACCTTAGCTACAGACAAGTTAAAACCTGGTTGCAGAACCAGAGAATGAAATGTAAGAGGTGGCAGAAAAACACCAAATGGCCAAATAGCAGCAATGGTGTGGCTCAGAAGGTCTCTGCGCCTATACAATACTCTATGCTTCCTATCATTAGGGATGCCTTCCTTCTGGAAACCTTCCAGTGTGGAGCAACCAGAGCTGGAACAACCAGACTTGGTGCACCCAAACCTGCAATAACCAAATCCTGGAACAATCAGGCCTGGAATAACCAGTTTCAGAACTGCAGAGAGGAATTCATGCTGCCTCAGATCCAATTCCAGTTCCAGCAAAATTCTGCCAGTGATCTGGAGGCCTCACAAACCATGGAGTTACTCCTAAATGACTCCATGAACATACAACCTGAAGATGTGTGGAGAAGACATATAATTCCATGTGAGTTAATGCACTGGATTGCAAGGTCGGTTTGAACCACAAGGTCAGCAGTTCAAATTCACCAGCCACTCCTCGGAACCCCTATACAGGTCGCTATGAGTAGATTCCATCTCAGTGGCACTTAACAACAACTAGGCAGTGGCTGCATTACTTCCTTTCTTGTACAGCTTCTTGCTTTAGAGCAGTATATCTCTGCCTTGATATCCTGGTTTTCATTGTGCTTATTGTATAGATTGGACTCCTGGTATAGCACTGTAGAATCAGCACTGGACTGCAAATCACAAGGTCAGCAGTTCAAACCCATCAGCTGCTCCTCAGAAACCCTATACAGGGCCACTATGGGTCAGAACCGACTCAAAGGCACTAACAACTACATTATATATAATTGTCTATAGCCAGTGATAGCCTTTATCATTCGGTGTAGAGCAGCCAAGGTAATCTGTCAGGAGGCTACTATAGAAACCTCTAATTAAACGCTGATCATATCCCCCCCTCCAAATCTATACAATATTGTTAAGTGCCATCGAGTTGGTTCTGACCCATAGTGACCCTCATACAGAACCGACTCCATGGCATACAACCACCACCACCACCATCTGCTTTGTTTAATTATAGACCCTAACCTGTTCATTATTTGAATATTTGTAGCAAGATGTTTTTGTTTTGCATTTTGCTGTGCTATGGTAATAATAGTACTAGTATGGCTAGCTGAATAAATATTAGTTCAAATAAATAATACCCATTAAAAACTAGGCCTTCTCAAGGGGAATACATGAGCAGGCATGTGGTCTTGCTGGTGACCACATTGGTCACCGATAACGGGACATGGGGGGACAACAGCAATGAAGTTGTGAGCTAAGTCTGACCATGTTCAATACACTCCTGTCAACCAGGGTTGAGACCTGGTTGGCCAGCAGTATATGGCGAGACCTGGGAACTCCTGGGCCCAGAGACAGAGACATGGCCACAGAGGATTAGAGTAGAGAGTGAAGCGTCTAGCTGATATGAAGTGAGGGGAGATGCACAAGAACACCCATACTTGCAGATAGTACCCACTTGACCTGGCTTTAATGGCTAGATGATCAGAACTCAACTAAAAGAAAGAAGAGGGGATTAAAAAAAAGAGTAATCTGCTACAGTTTGATGAACTTGACATATACTTACAGATGTAGTAGCTCAAAAAAGGGAATGAATCTTTACAGTGAGGATCATTCCCACTCCCTAGGTACATAGGGTCAACAGGGATGGGCAACTTAGACATTGGCTACCCAAAATGGGGGGGCTACAAAGGCAAGAAATGACTGGCTTACAAGCTTTCAAGAGGAGCCTAGTTCTAGAGGGTGAGGGGGAAGGTAGAATCTCTACTGAGTAGTTTCTGTCTGTTTGGGGCTGATGAAAGGAGATGAAGGTAAGACTCTTGTGGTTTAGCAGTGATCAATTGCTATCAGAACTGACTGTGAATGGTACAAATGTAAAGGTAGACATTTTGCAGCAAAAGGAGGGGAGTGGTTGATTTTGCAGTCAGGAGTGGAGGTCCCTGGGACCATCAAGGGAGAAGAGTGGAGTCCGGGACCCTATCCAGAGAGGCAGTGACGCCAGAGATGGAGGCAGAGAAGATGACTGATGTGGAGAGATGGAGCGACTGGGGACTCTGAACTCAGGGAGGGAGAGGGGCTGTGAGCTGACGGCAGGGGGACAGGCTTGCAGGGGGGTATATACCCTTTGGTTGTTTGATAATGCATGGAGGGGATTGTAATCATTGCAATGAAATAAAATACAATATGATGAATGTAAAGCTAACATTCTCTCTTGTAAACTATCACTTCACAAAAACTAAAAAAACAAAAAACTAGGCCTTTATTACAAATTATTTAACAAATTTCATTTGTCAGATGCAACCAAAACCCACTGACTCATAGCAACCCCCTAAGACAGAGTAGAACTGGTCCATAGGGTTTCTGCGGCTGTAAATCTTTATGGAAGCAGATTGCTTCATCTGTCTCCTGAAGAACAGCTGGTGGCTTTGAACCACCGATCTTTCTTTCAGTTAGCAGGCTAGTACGTTTGTGGCCATTGTAAAATGATCAAACCCAGCTGAGTAGACAGTATTGTGGGAAGGATGGTTAGAAGCAGAAAAGGCTGGCGGTGAAGGCATGTCTGACATTAGGTTTAAAGGAATCGGCTGATATGGTGTTTGATTCTCCTTCCCCCTTGGAAAAAGCCAGAGGTCTGACACCTGCCCCTCTGTCCCCCTCATCTTTTTCACAACTCCCATCTTGCTGCTCACCACTCAGAGGCGATCAGAGGTGAACACTGTGCACGGCTCCCAGATGGACAGAGTTCTGCACCCACAGTGATAACGGGCTGCCTTGTCTTGTCTTCCTTTGCCTGGTTCACTTCCCCAGGCCCCTTCCAGTGAGAGCTTCTTGGGATTACCTTGCACATCAACCACTGAGACCCAATTCTTGCCTCAGGCTCTGCTTCTCAGAGATTCACAACTACTTACTACCTCTGATGCCCACTGGTACTGAAGGAAGTACCACCATCCACAGGGCGTCTGTGAAACAGGATTGTGGAGAACTAGAGATGAGGCCTCCCAAGACACCTCTTAGGGGCAACGAAGAGTTTAACCCCATCCTTAACTTTAAAGGCTCAGATCCCCATCCAGAGAGGCGCACCTTCATAGGTATGCTGTGGTTCAGTGCCGTAAGTAAGTCGGTTCCAATTCATAGCTACTCTGTATAAGGTTTCTGAGGAGTGGCTGGTGGATTTCAACCGGTGGCACTGTGCTTCAAACCAACCTTGCAGTCCAGTGCTTACCATACAGTGTCACACCAGGATGTTCATTAACCAAATTCCAGAAACAGTGAGATCACACAGTTTTAATTAAAATGAGAAAAGTAACATTGAGGCCAGGCACCTTCTCTACCTGCAGACAAGAGAAGCCCAGGATTATCGGGAGGCACAGGGTCAGAACACAGAATCCCCCTACTGACATGTTGTCTGAAATGTGGTGGGACTTGACCCTGAGCAGGCCTCTCTGACGAAACCCATGTGGGAGTGCCACGGTGGGTGTAAAGGCAGGGACTGCCTGTGTGGAGGCACAGCTCCTACGGCCTCACTGAAATGACTGTGGGTTGAGAAGATGAGGTGGACTGAGTTCTAGGCAGCACCTCCTCACTGCCGAGGCTAACGGCTGGCTGGCAAGCAGGAGTAGTGGGTCAATGTGAAACATAGTGGGCTTGATATAGGTTCTGACTCAGTCATGTACCTGCTCAAGGCACAGGATACCCCTGACTCAGCCCCCATTCTGCAAGCTGTCCAGTCTATTTGTCCTGAAAGTGGCAGCACATAGAGCTGGGTAGAGATTGAGCTGGAGGTGGATGCCACGTGCTTCATCCATTGGCTTCTGCCCTCTGCCCTCTCTCCCTGGCTCCTCAGGAAGCCCTAACCTAGCAAGGGGATCAGAGAGGCCAGGCAGCACTAAGCTCCTTCTCTAGACCCTGAACGAACTGGTCATTGAGGAAGAGCAGCTGACCATGGGGCAGAAAGCGGGCAAGGATGGCCTCGATGCGGTCTGCCCGAAGCAGAAGGTTGGCACTGGGGGCCAGCAGGCGGAGGTGGTCAAAGATGAGGCGTGCCAGCAGTCGGAGCGTGCTCTCGGCCAGCAGCAGGTTCTCGTGGGTATCCAGCACCAGGACAAAGCCTAAGGAAAGCACGCCCAGCCACACCACCGTCCGTGGCTCCCGGAAAGGGTCCCCTGCTGCCAGGCGGAAGGCCCCATGTGAGGCCTCGTGCAAAGGCACTGGCTCATCTGAGGATGATTGGGGTGGCAGGTCTGTCGAAGAACGGCCGGATGCCTGCTGCTGCAGCTGGTACATGCACTCTGCCTGCCTAGAAAGAGTGGGCAAACAGGACGGCAGTGAGGGACCTGGTGAGACCACCACAGAAACCCCCATATTACATCAACATCTGTCATAACCACCTCTGGGCCAGGAACTGCCACTATCTCCATTTCTCAGATGGGGAAACTGAGATCCAGAGAGACTGAGTGTCCTGCCCTGGACCACACATTCAGGAAGATGAACCTGGACAGGAATCTACCTTCAGGGCCTGAACCACTTCATTCCATGTGCCCAAGAGAGGGGAGAATTGTTGATGCCAGAACTAGATGGTGCCTGGATACCATTACCAACTACTTTGAAAGGGATCACATTAGAAGGTCCTAGATAGAGTGGAGAAAATGAGGAAACTCCAAATTATAAAAATGACCAGGTTTACTGGTCAGATAGAAACTGGTGGAATCCAAAGTCTATGGCTCTTTGTCCCCCTTCAGGTCTGGAACTAAGATCATCCTTGTGGCACAACAGATAAGTCTATAGGGAGGACAACACCACCAGTGAGGTATGGTCAACCATTCGAGATCAAAGGGCAGCACTGACCTAAGAATGAAATTCAGAAGGGTGGGGAAAGAAGAAAGAATGGAATAAGAAACACAGGAGGACGTGGGATCACTGATGTTCCATTGAGACTGCAATCATTGAGATGAAATGAAGTGTTTGATGATCTACTCTGTAAATCTCCACTCAAATCACATTAAGAAGTTAAACAAACACATAAGAGAGAAAGAAAGGAGGATTTGAAGGCAGTTTCTGCGGCTGGAGAGGACACAAGGGCAGAAGCTCTTGCCCACCTGCTTCCCAGAAGCCGCTTCAACGTAAAGAAAAGCAGCTGATCAGGAGTGGAAGACAAGACATCATACCCACTTCCAACAGGATGGTGAACTAGGCAGACATGCTACACTGCCCCTCTACAACAAAGACACAACAGACCAAATGAAACAAATAAGAATGCAGATCTTGGATCCCTAAATTTCTGAGGAAAGAATAAAGAAGTGGATTGAACACCGACTAGGAGAAGAAGCTGAACAAAAGCAGCTTCAAGAGAGAGACAGATGGGGAAATGGCCATTTTGAACTAGTGCAAGCAGCATTCCATTGAGACAGTAACTTGTCAACACAAATGCACTCTAGTGACTGGTGATAAGAAAGGTGGGGTTTTCCCCTTATTCTTCACAATTGACTGCTGATCCAAAGCGTGGCCAGGCCCCACTCTCACCCACCCATCGACCATTGATACCCACCCTGTGTAGCCCCTGCTCTGCCTGAGTTCAGAGCCAAACTGGGTGCACCTCCCCGTGTCTAAACTCTGCCTCATCAGACCAGAAGGACACACAGAGTCGGGTTGCAGCCACTCCTGGGGAGCCAGGGACATCTTCCACACCAGCCACTTTGCCTCTAGTTGCCATCTGGGCCTGAAACAACTTCTTCTGGGAACAAACACCCTGACCTCCACCACCTTCTGAGTAGGCATGAACTACTTCTGAATCAGGTACCCTAACCCCATTCAACAACAACTAGGACTTCAGGAAATTCATCTAAGACCTTGTGTCCCATCCCCTCACCCTGTGAGCTCCTTGGCTGTCAGAGAGAGCTGCCTCATCCTGAGTGCCCCACCCATCACTATCTTCTCCTCTCTGGGTCCTGCCCCTGCTCTACTTTTCTCTCTTTTTTTCCTTTCTCATCCATTACTTTTAATTAATTCTTCCTCTGCTTTTCTTTTCTTCTGTTTTCCCCCTATTTCTCTTTTTCAGTTTTTCTTTTTTTTTTATTGTCTTTTCTTTTTCCCCTTCTGAGTCTTGCTTACTATATTTTTTCTTTAGTTGTTTCTTACTTTCCTTTTTCGTTATTAAATTTCTTTTTCTTATTTACTTACTTTTCCCCTATTTTTAAAGAAAATTAGTTTTGTTTTTGCTGGGTTTTTTTTTTTCTCCTTGTCCCACCAGCAAGAGATAGCAACTGTGCCCATACAGCCCAGCCACACCTGCACTTTCTTCAGCCCCATTTACTGTGTGAGGGCCTTGGTCCACTCCTATACCACCTGCGCATCGAGAGACAGCAGCAACACAAGTCAAACCTGCCTTCAGCTGTGTTACATGAATAGCAAACAGCTCCACAAACACCTATGGTCTCTATCACACCCACCAGGAGACAAGAACACACTAATATGCAATTATCAATTAAATATAAATATAACATCACCACAATATCTCTGAGAAAACAAATAACTTCAGTTCACACAAAGAAACAAGACAGAGTTTCTCAAACAAGTGGCTGAAATACAGGGATAGAAGATCTTTCAGAGGAAGAAATGTCCTTGCAACTACCTGACAAGAAATGCAAAAGAATGATATTAAGCTAACTTCAATGGATTGAGAGAAAAATCAAGAAAGGAGCAAACAAAATCAAGGAAAACAGGCAAAACTTTAGAAGAATTCAGGAAAACTATCTGAACAAACTGACAAAATAAATAAAATAGAAACCATACAAAAACAGCAAAAAGAAATTTGGGTTTCAAAAATAGAAAGGGCAAAGGAGCCTAACTGAATCAATGGAAGGATGAATTAGTGAGCTTGAATACATATTTCTCACTATCAATATGCTAGAGGAGCTCTGGCTGCTAAATGAAAGGCCGTAGTTCAAATCCACCAGTTGCTCCAAGAAAGACAGATGAGGCTTTCTGTTCCCGTAAAGATTTACAGCCTCGGAAACCCTACACAGGGTCGCTGTGAGTTGGAACCGACTCCATGGCATACCACCACCACCAATATGCTAGAGGAACAAACAGAAAAAAAGTACAAAAGAGCCTTAAAGAAAAGCCTAAGAGTTATGTGAGACACCATCAAGATGAATAACTTCTATGTGATTGGAATTGCAAGATAGGACGAAACAAGAAAAAGGCACAGAGAAAATTGTCAGAGAATTGTTGCAAGAAAACTTTCCTAACATCATGAAAAATAAGAAAACATGCATTCAAGAAGCTTAATGACCTCAAAGAGGGCAGACCTCCCCTCCAAAAAACCACCAAGATATACCATCATCAAACTCTTCAAAATCAAAGACAAGGAAAGAATCCTGAGAGCAACTCAAGAAAAAGGAAACGTTACTTGCAAAGGAGAACTACGCTCAGATTTCTTAGTAGAAGCAATGCAAGAAGGCTATGGGATGACATATACAACTCTGAAAAAAAAAATTTTTAAATGTCAAACAAGAATCACATACCCAGCAAAACTGTCCCTGAAATACAAAAGTGAAATTAGAATATTTCCAGATAAACAGAAATGAATTTATAAAAACCAGACCAACCTTACCAGAAATACTAACGGTAGTTCCTTTGGACAGAGGGGAAACAACAGTAGACAACAAACTGAGATTAACATACATGCCAACACCACCCAGAAATCAACCTAGATCTAGAAGTATCCAAAGTAAAACAAACCTGCAACACTGAACACAGGGAAGCAAAGGTATCAATTTGTAACTAAATCAACTACAAAGTAAAAAGAGGGAATAGTGTAGTTACAGAGTTTGCAAATGTAGAGGAAGTCAAGTAGATTTCAAGGTAGAACAGGCTGTTGTGAAAAGACATACAGACTAAGGTTGTTGTTGTTGTCAGGTGCCATCGAGTCGGAACCGACTCATAGCGACCCCATGCACAGCAGAACCAAACATTGTCCAATCCTG